GGCGCCGAGCCTGGAAGCTTTTAAATACCCCATCAGCATTAGAATTAAAGTAGCATAACCTGTTGTATTTTAAGCAAAAGCATTAACACTTAGGGAAACATTTTCATTATTCCTTTTGTCTTTTTTAGTCAAAGATGGGGAATTTCTTTAATTCTTTTTAAATTTTTTTGTATTTTCAATTCTTATGGATACATAATATTAGTACATATTTATGGTGTATATGTGATGTTTTTGTATCAGCATACTGTGTGTAATGGTCAAATCAGGGTAATTGGAGTATCCATAATCTCAAGCATTTATCGTTTCTTTGTGTTAGGAACATTGCAGTGCCACTCTTTTAGCTATTTTTTATTTTTATTTTTGAGACAGGATCTCCCTCTGTCGCACTGGGTAGAGTGCCATGGCATCACAGCTCATAGCAACCTCAAACTCTTGGGCTTAAGTGATTCTCCTGTGTCAGCCTCCCAAGTAGCTGGGACTACAGGCGCCCACCACAAAGCCTGGCTATTTTTTGTTGCAGTTGTCATTGTTTAGCTGGCCCTGGCCGGGTTGGAACCCGCCACTTGGTGTATGGAACCCACTTGGTGTATGTGGCTGGCGCTGTCACCACTGTGCTATGGGCACCGAGCCCTCTTATAGTTATTTTAAAATATACAGTAAATTATTGTCAACTATAACCACTCTATTGTTCTATGTTCATTCTGTCTAACTATATTTTGGATGTGTTAACCATCCTCTTTTTATCCCCTGAAAGTGTTTTTAAAACACCGTTTTTAAATTAAAAAACTTATTTTAGGCTTGGTACCCATAGCTCAGTGAGTAGGGCCCCAGCCACATACACTGAAGCTGGCAGGTTCAAGCCCAGCCCAGGCCTGCTAAACAACAATGACAACTGCAACAAAAAATAGCCAGCCATTGTGGCAGGTGCCTGTGGTCCCAGCTACTTGGGAGGCTGAGGGAGGAGAATCGCTGGAGCCCAAGAGTTTGAGGTTGCTGTGAGCTGTGACGCTACAGCACTCTACCGAGGGCAACATAGTGAGACTCTGTCTCAAACAAGAACTTAATTTGTGTGGGGGTCCAGGGGGACCCTAACCCAGGTTGGGGGCCGACAGGGAGATGGCACTGAATAAAGAAGAAAACTTCACACCGACTTAATTATATAAAGTCTCAGGCGCCAGAGTGGCAGATTGAGGCAATGCAGCCACTCCCTAATTCCTCAGAAACCTTTTATTGATCTCCAAGAGAAAACATTGGTGAAAAAAAGCAAAGGTGTAAGGCTGAGTAATCCGGAACTTAGAGCAATAAATTGTTAACAGTGCCTCCTAACACATTCAGAAAGCGGGAGGAGGAACCAAGTGGCATCTCCCCAGGGCAGACAAACTGGCTTCCTTAATCTAACTGCCCATTAGTAGTTCAAAGGTCTCAGCTCACCTGCCTTCTAGTTCTCCAGGCAACAGTCTTGAGGACTTTACCCGGTTTTGGGTGTCCCTAGACTCCTTTTATCTTCTTGATAAGGAGCCCACAGGTGTGGCCCACCTTCATGCTTTACCCCGAATTGGAGATACCACCACCCAAGAGAATCAGCCTGTCTGCCTCCCACAATTTTGGAATGTTTATTCTGGAACATTTATTATAAACAACATTTTGTATAATTTAAACATATTTGCTAATTGCCAAAGCAGCTTAACAATTTTAGATAGCTTAGTGATTTTAACAAATCGTATTGACACAACAGGCTAAATTTGATAGCTCTATCATCCATTAGCATAAGTATTATAGATTTTTATCTATACTTTAGCCATTTTTAATGAATATATTTCACTTGTAATTATTTCTATCACTAGATTAGGGTTAATGGTAATCAAATTTTCATTGTCTACTTAAATATAAAGTACAGTATTTTCATGTAATTCTTGTCATCAAATTGGCAGTAAGAGATGGTGCTATATGGAAAAATCAATTGCATTAATTATAGATTCTTAAAATTTTTATTGTAACTCGACTTTATAATTAGAGGTCCAAAATTATTTTATGATTTATTAATACAATATGGAGTAATTAAATTAAGCTAATTAACATCTACCATCTCAAATACTTATTTTTTGTGATGAGAACATTTAAATTTACAGTTAGTAGTATTTAAACATACAGTATACTATTTATTAACTACATTCACTATACAGTATATCATTTTATTTTATTTTATTTTATTTTATTTTTACTTTATTTCATTTTATTTTATTATTCTCCAGACAGTCTCACTCTGTTCCCCTGGTGTCATCATAGCTCACAGCAACTTAAAATTCTTGGGCTTAAGCAATTCTCTTGCCTCAGCCTCCTGAGTAGCTGGGACTATAGGCACCCGTCACAATGCCTGGTGATTCCCCCCCAACTTGGCCTCCCCAGACACTAGGATTATAGGCAGGCTTGAGCCACCGTGCCTGGCTGCAGTACATCTTTTTCAAAACCTGATTCCTCCTGAGATGCTGTACCCTTTGATTATCATCTGCCCATTTCCGTCCAGCCCCAGGCCCTGTAACCATCCCTGTACTCTCTGCTTCTTTGAGCACAGCTATTGAGATTCCCCATGCAAGTGAGAATGGGCAGTATCCATCTTTCTGTGCCTGGCTTGTTGCCCTTAGCATAAGGTTCTCCAATTCTGTTCATATTGTCCCAAACACCAGGTTTTCCTTTTCTAGGGCTGAATAGTATTCCATTGTGCATATATTCCACACTTTCTTTATCCAGTCATCTTTTTCTTTTCCTTTTTAATTTTATTCTTTTTTTTTTTTTGAGACAGAGAGTCTCAAGCTGTCACCCTGGGTAGAGTGCTGTGGTGTCATAGCTCACAGTAACCTCCAACTCAGGCTTAAGCAATCCTCTTGCCTCAGTTTTTTTATTTTTAGTAGAGACAGGGATCTCACTTTTGCTCAAGCTGGTCTTAAACCTATGAACTCAAGCAATCCACCCACCTCAGCCTCCCAGAGTACTAGGATTATAGGCGTGAGCCATCATGCCCAGCCCCCAGTCATCTGTTGATGGACACTTAAGTTGCTTCCAAGTATGTGTTGTGAATGGTACTTTAGTAAACCTAGCGGCACAGATAACTCTTTGACGGACTGACTCCAGATCTCTGGGTCAACACCCAGAAGTGGGATTGTTGGATCAATCATAGAAGATTTGATGAAAGGAAATCACCACATTTAGACCTTCCTTATTTGGGCCCTACTAGTTCTGAATTTTAATTCATTTGCTTGGGCCTGAAAAAATGTATATAGTAGAACCTCCATAGTTGACCACTTTCTTAAATGGACCTAATTTTCACAGACTGGACATGCACTTCATGTACGTACAGTGGGCCTAGTTCCCTATGTTGATTACCTCCATGTGTTGACCAGTTTGTTAAGGTCCCTTGAGTGGTCAGTTTGCAGAAGTTCTACTTACTGTATGTATTTATTTTTTTGTACTCAGAAGAAAGAGATTGGTCAAGCTAATTATCAGTAAAAACAAGATTGTTAGAGGTTTATTTTACGTATTTGTTGTAACTAAGGCATTTTACACAAGCTCTGCAGTTAGACAATTTTCTGTTATGTTGTGTGATCTTGAACCAGTTCGGTGAATGTCTATGAGTGTCAATTTTCCTATCTTTAAGGTGGAATTAGGAGGGCCAGCCTCACCTGCCTCCTTAGCGCAGTAGACAGCACGTCAGTCTCATAATCTGAAGGAGGGCCAGCTAAATGAAATAATACATGGCAAAGGAATATATTAATTTCACAGCATGTTGGAAATTTAATTTTGTAAATGTGAGGTAATAGTTATGAAGCACTTAAATTAGTACTGGCAACACTAACTAGCTTGTTAAATAAACTAAGGCAGTCTGGCCGGGGCCAGGTTTGAACCCGCCACCTCCAGTATATGGGGCCAGCACCGTACTCCTTTGAGCCACAGGTACCACCCCCTAGTAATATCTTTACTTAGGAATACACAGTTCGTGTTAGCGCACCAAAGCAACTTGTGAAATAACTAAAGATAACCACTTACTCCAGTATGCCTGAGAAAACAGAGTGTACATTTTATTAAAAATATAAACTGTAGGAGTGGCGCCTGTGGCTGAAGGAGTAGGGCACTGGCCCCATATACCAGAGTTGGTGGGTTCAAACCCAGCCCCGGCCAAAAACTGCAAAAAAAAAAAATATATATATATACACACACACACACACACACATATATATATGTGTGTGTGTATGTATAATGGCCAAAGGAATATATTAATTTCATAGCATGTTGGAAATTTAATTTTGTAAATGTGAGGTAATGGTTATGAAGCACTTAAATCAGTACTGGCAACATAGCTTGTTAAATAAACTAAGGCACTCTGGCTGGGGCCAGGTTTGAACCCACCATATATGTAACTGTAAGCCAGGCATGGTAGCTCATGCCCACAATCCTAGCACTTTGGGAGGTTGAGGCAGGTAGGTTGCTTGAGCTCAGGAGTTCGAGACCAGCCTGTCTCTACTTTAAAAAAAAAAAAAAGTAAAATACTAGCCAGACGTTATGGCAGGTACCTGTAGTCCCAGCTACTTGGGAGACTGAAGCAAGAA